CTCTGGACAAGTCGCCGGTCTATTGCACAGCCAAACCTGATGTTTATAAGCATCGTATAAACAGTGATCGGTGAAAACATGAAAAAAAAAATATTCTGGGGGAACACAAGAGCGTTTAACTTAGAAACGGTTTTAAAAGTGTACTTTTAACCTACCGGTAGTAAGCAATATTTGTATATACCAAAAAGCAAAGGACAGGAATGACTGTACCAAATTACTGCTATCCCCTGACCATAAATCCTTTTTTAATGCAACCGCAGCACGACTAGCTTGTCTAAGACATAAATCAGCGGATGTGTGAGACCTCGAGAGAATTATCTAATCTTGGGTACCAGCCCATGCAATGCAATGTCCTGACCCTCCTCATTAGTGTTTATTTTAAAATTATGTTATTTTCCTCGCCGATTTGTGGCGTTTCCAAGCTGCGTAAACCTAACGGGCGCTTGTAACCTAGATACCGCTGAGCCTTCGAGGAAAAGAGCACTGTGTCAAGTTCACCGGTTCAGAGCCATAAAAGGCGCTCACGCCCACACAGACCCTGCAAAATAAAGCAGTAAAAAATCTAATCTGAACACACTTTATGTCCCACTGTCAACGTGCTTTTGATAGCGTTCGCAGAACGTGTTAATTATTAATTTCCCCCCCCCCATGCAACAATGTAAAGTTCAAACCTCTCATTCACAAAATAACACCTGCCACTTACTAAGTAACCATTCAGTGGCCTGAGTGCATGCTTGTGTGAGAGTGTGTGACAGTGTGTGTGTGATTCATTTGCAGGCCAAGCGGTAAACAATACAGGCTTTCCTGGAAAGCCGGCACGATTCTGACTAAGATGAAAACAAATCATTGCCAACGAGCGGCATCACCTTCCCTCTTCAGCAGCACTGCAACACCAGAGGAGGCCAGCTGCTCTTTTTTTAACATCCTCCTTTTCCACTCACAGCGCATCCAGCCCGCATCAGTTCTACAATAAAGCGACTCTCTCGCTCTCTGCACGCTCCCAACCAACCGGCTTCCACCTCTAAAAGCAGAAATCAAAGACTGTTGGTAACATCAAGCGGATTTAAAGTCTGGTTTTAATATTTCAAATACTTTTAATAAAGGATGGATTTTTCCACTCCGAGGTAGTCCTTCTATGTTTATATGCAAATGGTTTATGGATCGCAGGAAAACACGCGTCTTCTTCTTTGTTTGTTTTTCACCTTTATTGGACAGTAACAGTGGAGAGAGACAGGAACCACCCAAACCTTTTCATCCATTTCTCTGTTACTTAATAATTAATACGTTTTGCCCTTTCTTTTTCGGACTTGTGTAGTTTATTGGGCCCTGCTTCCTTTTATTTTTATAGGCGGAAGCCCAGAAACTGATAAGGGTGCTCGCCGAACGACCACAACCATGAAGGCTCCCTCAGTCATCACGGAGAAGAGCTCAACACCTGCCGAGGACCTGAGCTGATGTTTCTGAATCTGCGTGGGCGCTGCAGGACTCTATACTCTTATCAATCCCGTGCGTGACATTTAGAGAGACAACCGCCCTGTTTAACACCACACACCGAGCACGTTAGCTCACCGCTAAGCACGAGTGGAAAACAAATGTCGCAGGCTAATGTGTTAAAGCTCCTGGCACACACAGCAATCACTCCTGTGCAAACACTCCAGCCTGTTTGCTGACCCCCTTTTTTTGTTGTTGTTGTTGTTCTTGGAAATCAAACCTGAGAATCTGTTTTATATTTCATTTTTCTGGGAAGAGATTTGTGATAAATGATATTTAATCTAACCTAATCCTGCCAATCTAGCTGCTTTAAGAAAATGAGTAAGTCCTGGAAGGGGAAAAATAAATAACAGTGCTTGCTAGTAAGCTCATTTACAGATTAGAAAAAATGGCAAACACACACACACACACACACACAGCTTGATTGGAAATAAGTGCAGAGCAGAAGAAAGTTGGCAGCTTTGGATCACACTGCACAACAAAGCTGTGGATCTGAAAGTCTCATTGTTCACCTCGAGAACACAGGCGCTGTTGTTTTAATTGTGACTCTAAATGAAAGTAATTGGCCTTAACGGTGATAGCGGCAGACAGTCTTAAAGACGCCTCTCCTGCATCTGCAGTTATTAGCAGAGAGATCTCCGGAGAGATTCCTCGCTCTGTAAATACTGCTGTCACACACATTTTCATGAGGGAAAAAAAAGAAACAGAAGGCTGACAAGGTCAGCGTCGCATTCCTTTAAAATGTCTCCTGGCTTGCCTCTCTCCATCTCTCTCTCCATCTCCCTCTTTGCGCCGGCATCCAACAAGTGCGTCTCGAAGCTGTCATTCAAACGAGACAAGCAACACCTCAAATTTGACGCCCACACTTGGCAGCGCTCTCGAGGGCCGGGATCGCCTCCTCTTGAAGGCTTTCCCGCCAGCAAACAAGACAGCGGGAAACAGCCGCTCAACAGGTATGAGTCGTAATCTCCGGGCCTCGCACAAAGAATCGCAGCTATTTCTGTGTCGGCGAGAGGTGAGCTAACAGGGGGCATCCCTCTGCACGCTTCCAGCGGAGGGGGGGTGAAGCACGCTGAGGATGCGAGAGGGAGCGGAGGGAAATTAAAAAGGGTTCATTTCATATTGTGACAGGAGCTGGTTAGTTTATCTTCTTCTATCAGCCCAGAACAGAGTGAAGCTTCCTGCCCTGGCTCCTGCTCACAGCTGGGCATTGATTCAATATCACTGTTTGCTTCGTTCTAACAGTCGCACTGACATCAAATAATGAGTGGTGTGTTATTTCAGAGGTTTTTGGAGGAAAAACAATAAATAAATAAATCAAGAGCAGCTATTGATCGTAAAAACCCCGTGAGCCTGCGTTACCTTTTCAGTTCCTTTACCGAAGCTGATTTTTCTTGTGGAGTTCAGCTACTCTCTGCTAAGCAGACGCGGTCTAATGAAAGATATTTTGGGAAGTGAATCTACACTCAAGAGCAAAAGGTGAGGATCGGTGTCTTGCAAGTCTCCAAAGTGCAATGTTAAATCAGCCCTTTAAGGCATCTGTAAACGTAACGAAATGAGCCGCTGCGTTTAACTTTATTAACGTCCTTTCACAGCCTTAACTTAAAGCTACCATAACTCGATTTGAAATGCTTACTTACCACTTTTAAAGCGTTGAAAGACCTTTCCCCGAATTATATCAACCACTCATTAACCCCTCAGGCGCCTGCGCGCTCACTTATGTTGTGCAAAAGCCTTGAGCCACCTCTGGTTTCTTTGTGTTTCGCTAGCAAAATGAGAAATAGGTGCAGTGACTTGTTGAAACACGCAAATATGCATGAAAATGCAGTTTCTAAGAGAAAAAGAGAGTTGGCTCTACTCTCAGGAGGAGTAAGGAGCTCTCAGCTTTCTTGCCTATATTTTGTCTATATTTGTGTTTTTCATGGATTCAACCAAAAATGGTGTGTTTTTGTTACAGGCTGCTAGTAACTGAACATGTTCAGGTGTGAGTCACTCTCACTGCTCAGTCATCCTCAAACAGAAACTGAAACTTATTTAAAAAACAAATAAAAACATACTTCTAGGCTCACAGGCCTACGTGCAATTAATGTAGTTACTGAATATTATTTGACACTTGTTATCTTCCGTTTGACACTTCCACTGTCATCATTTAACGTGTCACCTTGCATAAATTAGCAGTTATTAATGTCAAAATCGTTGCTTGGGATTAGCAGTTTATTAGCTTTGTCAGCTCAGCGGATGACAATGAGTTAATGTGTGTGTGTGTGTGTGTGCGCGCAAATATTGCACAGCTCTAATCCAAGTTTATAAAGGAAACACTTAGGGAAAAGGAAAGTGTGTGACCTCTCTGGCTGATCTATAGTCATCTTAAACAGCGTGCACATGTAAGGCCAAATATCCACTCTACCCTCTGTGATGTGCATCACATGTGGCGATGCTGCAGGACTGAGGACGCCGGCTGAGACTACGGCTCGCTCCGATCCCTCGGGGCCCAGCGGTTGCCCCAGCTGTGGTATTTATACTGCACACACTCCCAGGTGTATAAAGTAAACACAGCCGACGCTGTCAGGTACCGCGTCGGCCAGTGGCAGGAAGCTAACCTTTCTCATCCACCAGCTGGTCGCTAAATAATGTATCAGCTCGCGGAAGTGCAAGTGAAGGCTTCCAAAGCAGCGATCAGTCATCAACAAGGAAAAAGGGAGGCTCTTTTTACTAAGCTGATGCCGTGGACGTTTTTCTCTCGCCCCTCCGGAGCTCATTCATATTGAATCGAGCCCATTAACAGTTATAAGACCAGATTAAAATGCTTTATTGCATTTGAAGCGAGCCACGATCCGCCTCTGTTCACAATCAAAGCGTTCGCATACGCCAATATGGCAGATGTAGCAGCAGACAGATTTCCCTTAATGTGACGGCGCCGAAGGGGATACATTTTCATTAATCTGCACATGACAGGTAGTTTTTTAGGTCTCTAAAAATGGTTTTAAACAGCATCCTAGACACACCTACAATTCAGCCAGGCCCACTATAATCAAAAAGGATTGCTGTTTCCACCTGCAGGGTTTCTATTTGGTGGTGTGGAGGCGAGGCAGGCATCAGTCACATCACATATGACAATAAGTGGAAGGTACAAGAGGAGCTGGGTTGGGGGTGGGTTGCAAAGCGGCTTACAGGTGCAGTCTCTGTACTTCTGTATTTCTGAAACAACATTCACAGACTTTCTCTTTCTTTTTCTTCATGTATTAAAAGTATTTAAAGCTTTTCTCTGGTTTAATTCCTGTTCTGCTGCAAATACGTCGTGACTACAAGGCAGACTGATACATTAAACTCCTGGATAGTGAAGCAGCATCTGCATGCAGCTGTAGACTGTGGTATTTGTTTGTTTAACACAAGGGCAATATCAGCCGGACGCATGTGCCTGGCCTTTTACTCCTGTGAGAGTTAGAAGACTGAGCAGGCCCTTTCCACCCGGTGCATAACAGGTAAAAAGTGGTAGACAAACATCTTACCTTGGTGGCTGTGTGAAGTCATTGCTGCCAGGTCGGTCAGGCAGACGTCCACGCAGTACGGCGAGTGTGCACCCAGCTCGTCGTGTGAGCGTGTGTTCACTGAAGGACAGATGTCTGTGTGTGTTTGAGTTGAAGTACGGATGTGGTTTACAGGATGGTGATCAGGAGCCTGTTAGCCTGCCAGAGCTGGGAGGAGGAGGACAGTGTGGGTTTGAATGTGTGTTCAGGCTGATCCAACACTCAGGACGGTCAAACGGGAAACAGGAAGCAGACGTCCGGCAGCAGCCAATCTCCATTAGCTTATTGATCCGGCAACTCCAATCAGAGTGGCAACTCGCTGTTTAGCACCAACCTGTGGGAGGATGAAAAGGACAATGTTTTATTTAAACGCTTCACGTAAGAGAGAGCAAAGGAGAGACACCAGCTGGCCTGTCACAGGTCGGTGCTGTGTGTATGCTGCTCCATAAGAATAAATAGGAAACCTTTTTTGCAGGAGACACTACAGCAGAAAGATGCTGTTCACATGGTTTGCACTCCCAGGACCGTGCAGCACACGCAGCATAACAGCTGAGCACACGGAACTGCATTAGCAGAAAGTTAAGAAGCAATTTCCCCATGATATCGTTTCCAAACAGCGCCGATGTACTGTAGCTACATGGACACGGTATTTTTATACAGCATATGAACCGAGGATGTCAAAGTGGGCGGGACCAGTGAAGCTCTCCTTTCTGTCACTTTAAAGTTTAACTAAACATTTAACCCCTCAGACATTTCATTCAAAGAAAACGAGCCGATTTCAACGGCACGTTTCATGTTTTTTTTACATCATAAAGTAATTCTGCTTTAAAAAATGAAAGAAATCTGCCAGCACTGCTCTTCACGGCCAAATTGTAAGAAATTAATGTGTAAAATGACAGAAAAGGTTCTGTTAGCTCAACGCCAAGACTTTCAAGAAATTATAAGACAAAAGGTTTTTGCTAATACACAGAAAATATCCTGGGTTTTCTTTTTCATTAGTGTTTTTTTTTTACTGTGAATCTTTTTAAAAAATCATAAATTTCTAAATTAGCAAAAAACCCAAAAACATTTCTGTCATTTCACTGTTTATCTATTACTTCTTTACTTTAGCGGAGCATGAATGTGTCATGAAACGCTGTGTGGCAGGCAGGAGATGAGGACTCAAAGCGCAGGACTCACAGACTCAGGGGGTGAACTCAAAATCACAGCTTTATTTGCTGGTCACAGAAAAACGAGCAAACTAAGCTAAACTGGGGAAACAATGACCTAAAACTCACACAGACACAGGGCGATCCACACAGCAAGAGGGTCGACACGACACTGACTCAGAGAAACAGGGTTTAAATACACTGGGAAGTAACGAGGGGGATGAGACACAGAAGGAGGGGACAGCTGGGAGAAATCAGAACTGACGAGACAAGGGAGCAAAGTAGGATACACTCACATGAGACACAGACCTTCAAAGTAAAACAGGAATTAGCACAGACGCAAACTAGACTAGAGGAGACAGAGGAGCTAAGAAACACAGACAACACCAACAACAAAGAGACACAGAGGGCAGCTACTAAATACTCAGAGAACTAAACAGAATACAAGAAAACCAAACTAAGACACAACACTAAAGAACAAGCTGGGACAACAAAGAGAACTAAGAACAGAATACACAAGAAACTCAAAACACTGGGTCACTGACCCAGGACCGTGACAGAATGATTGCAGGGGAAGCTCTTTATAAGCTGTAAAACTTATTAAAGTCTTTGGCGGGTCTATTGTGGGCCCCGGGCCTTACGTTTGACACCCCTGATATGAACAAAGCAGGAGCGGTCCCTAAAAATCCAGTATCAGCCAAGCTCTAGTACTCTATTCGATCCAGATATTACAGACAGTTATATAAGCCGTGATATTTACTGTATTGTTATCAGGTCTGTACACAAGATGACTGCAAGGACTGCTGCTAGTATCAAAAACAACACGTGCATCCTTTAAATGCCTCTCACTCGCAGTTATTTACAGCGCTGATCTTATAGTGATGCGCCAGCTGCTGACTGAGGACATATCACTTACATTACAGACAGATTTAGCTTGGTCATCTATAATTGTTGCTATAACTCTAGCAACATGCGTTTGTAAGTAGAAGTCATGAGTTAACTACAGCTAGTAAAGCATCTTTTAGGTCTTTTATTGCATAACAACAGATTGAGGCCCAAAAATAGCCAACGCAGGTTTGCACAATTAATCCTTTCTCATACTTGCAAACAAATCAGCTGGTTAATGAACTAATGGTTTCACTTTGTAAGCAGTCTTAATAAGAATAAACAACTTTCACAATACTGGAAAGTCTTCTGGCTGCAGGGATACAAAATCCATCTTAACGCGGATTTGCAAACATTTCCAACCTTAGCAAATCATCAAATCCTGCTCCTAGAAATGCACCGGTGAGTTTTCAGAGTAAAATACAGAGTTCCAAGAAGTCAACGCAACCCCGGGTTCAATGATACACTGCGAGGAGCTGTAAACCAATCAGGCAATAAATAGCTTTTCCTTGAGATAGCGTCTTTTTGACTGAGGCGCACTGGGGATTTCACAAAACTCCCCAGTAGGATGCACTGCGTTCACGGCAGAAATTGGTGGAAAGATCCCATTAAAAAGCAAAAGAGACAATGATTCTGTTATTTGCCTGGCAGGAGGCTCTTCTTTGTTTTTTGGGAGGTAACTGATTTGTCTTCTTGTTGCTTCTGGAAATATACGATTGTTCTTTTCTTTGTTTACGGAGAGTGGCCTGGATTCCTTGGGCCCGGAGCACCGGTGTCAGATGTAATAACAGCTCAGCCCTAAAGTATCAAGTCGACTTTACTACTAGTACAAAATTCAAGGGGCCAGACTGCCCGGGGGTGAGGTTGAAAGATTTGGCCGCGGAGACACGAGGGGGTATGGGGGCAGCGCCCTTGTGTGTGTGTGTTTGCAGAGATCTCAACCGTCCTCTGAAGCAGGATGGGATGTGCATGCGAGTGTGTGTGTATGCATTAAAAGGAAAGGAGTGGGGGTAAGGGGGGACTCTCAAGACAAGAGGGCCAGACACTGCAGCCGCAGGACAAATTGGCCCCCCCAAACCAAAAAAAAGTCGGTCACTGCACAGCTCACGCACACTTGCGCTTTGTGATGGAAAAGCAAAGCAAGGATTGGTGGAGGGAGGGCACAGGCAGGCAGGGTAGGGTGGGGGGGCTGTGTGTGTCATGCTGACACTCCAGGGGGGCTTCATGCAACACCAATCCCCCCGGGGCATCTCATCTGTCTCGGGAGGGGTACTCATATGTGTGTGTGTGCGTGTATCCCATAGGCCATTGTCCCTAAAAATGAGCTTGCTTGATGCAGGGTGACAGATCTGGGGAGACAAGCCCTGAAGCCCAAAGTGAGCAAAGAGTGAAAAAAAACAGAGTGATGCTTCAAAATGACACCAGTATTAGCAAAAGAGAACGCATGTAAGATAAAAATAACCCTCAAAAGAAATTTAATATGCACATCACAGCTACAGATGACAGCCACAAGCGCACAAAAAGGTGGGTACACACAGTTCCTCCCCCTTTCAGCCCAAACCCAAACTCTCAAACACGACAAACGGCTTCATTCACCTTCCCAAACTAACGTTTCCCCATAAGAACTATTTCGTGCGGAAGGCGACACTTTGAATCGGCCCCTAACGCGTTGCTTTGATGTCGCTTTAACGGCTCCGTACGCCCCCATTCACAAAAAAACAGAAAGATTGACGCATGCAGAGAATTACCACCGCCCATCCCGAACCATTCACACACACTCACACACACTCACGCGGGCCCCTACCTTCATTTCAAGCAATTTTTCCCTTCCTCGCCATTAGCACGGGGAAAAGCGACAAAATGCGCACGAGCTCAGTGTTTTATCGCGTTAGAGTCTTTGGCTCTATAAATAGCTCAGCAACAATCGGCATAATAAACACCGCCTGCCCCCCCCACACACACACACACACACACACATACACTCCTCCTGCCTCTCCCCCCTTCTCCCCTTGTTGCCAACACACTTCCCGCCCGCAAATAGTGCAATAAACCCGTGAAGGATATTTTGTAGCTAAATCGTTACAAGTCGCAAAAAGAAAAGAAAAGAAAAAAATAATAATTTCTACCAGGATTCAGATGTGACTCAGACTCCGAGGGGAGTCGTTTAAAACGTTCAATCGCAAGCGAGAGGGCGAAAGCGAAGATGAGCGGAGTGAAAACTTCAGCCGGACATGGTTTTTCATGAAGCCTGCCCGTGCATCGCATCCCTGCCTTGGATATCAACATCAAAGCGAGGCTACACATTCAGCCACAGCGGCCACAGGCACACCAAAACAGCTCACCTATACACGGGCCGGGAGGAGGCCAGTCGTCCCAGCATGTGTCCCAAAGCGGCTGGCCTTTCTTAAAAAAAAAAAAAGAAAAAAATCTCTCCCATGTTAGCACTCCGAGGCTTTTTTCTCCTCTTTTCCTCAACGCAGGAGGAGGGGAAGAAAAAAATCATCTCCTGACAGATTCCGCCATACTGGATTTTTGTTACAGCCCCAGCGTCACATGGAGCGCCCCTGCATTCACCAGAGGCGGGGTCAGGCTGATGAAAATGTGATCATCTACGAGCAGACAGCGTGGTATATGTGTGTGTGTCTGTGTGTGTCTCTGTATGTGTGTGTGGCAGGTTGGATAAATGCTTGTGATTATGGCCGAGGAAAAGAACTTTTTCTGGGGCGTGTCCTGTATTGTAATATCCGTGCATGCGGTTCCCCGAGCGTCACATACACGCATTACCATGTTTTTATAACTTTGCAGCTTTATGAGCCAGCTATAGATGTGCATGCACACACTTTCCACTTTTACTGCGTTTTTATGGAATCACGGGATCATTATCCCCTTCCTGTAGTGCACTATAATTAGACACTATTGCAGTTTGTTGCATCCCCCCTAAAAATATTGCTTTTAAATGTTGGGGTTTATTATCCTTTATTTTATTATTACTATCCTGAGGCACCTATGCTACCTTATGGCATTTATCGTGATGGTCTGCTCCACGTGATCACAGCTAAAAATAGCCTGCACATCTTCAGGCCAAACGTTTATGTGTTTATGTGGATGACGACATGTGCATAGACATATGTGCGTACGTATCTATGTTTAGTTATATATGGGCATGTGTGTGTGTTTAATTTTATGCACGGTGAGGAAGCATTGCCATCATTTTGTGATGCTTGCATAATGGCAATAAAGAGTCTTGGATCTTTCATTTTTCTGGGTTGTGATCATTAATCTGCTCTTTCGTGTTCTGCTGATTGACTTCTATAAATGACTTTTTCTAATAACCTTATCTTAGTTTATAGAAGCTTTATCTGCCTTAGTGTCATTACTACACTCCAAGAAGGTTCTAGTAGTAGCAGTACTGCAGTGCTATTGCAGTAGGCCAATAGAGTTTTAAACTGGTATCTGAGCACTTATGTAAAAGCAATACTTGTTGCTGCAACAGAACAAGAAAGAGCTTGAAGAACACTGATGTCAGTCTGTAGACTAAGTTCCAGTCAGTGTACTGACATCAAAAGCAGAAAGAGACCAAATCCTCAACAGTAACCGAACATTTCATAATGCGTCATTAATCTATTTATGTTGTAATTACTATGTGACAGCAGTTTTCTGCCTGTAATGCAATATTTCTAGCCTTACTTCAGTTGCTCAGCGGCAGCAAAATGGAACAAACATTTTTATCCAATTCCTGTGCATTGCAACATGAAACGCCCTCCATGCTGCCTGCTCTAATCCAATATGCTTTTATTTCCATTACTCTGTATTTGATTGTGCATCTCAGCAGCCACCCACAGGCAAACCTGCAACACTACTGCCTGCCTCAGCTGACTCAATTACTGTAATATGCTAACCAGTCTCTATATAGGCTACATCTGAGGGCGGAGACAGCGTTATTATTCACCCAGTGTGAGTAGACTACAGAGCTCTGCTATGATTTCAGTCTGCTCTAATAACCCTGAGGCTGCTCCGGTGGCTCGCTGAAGTCTGCGGAGACGCTTTGGAAAGATTTGATTCTGAAGTTGTTATTCAGGAAAGGAAAGAAGCTCATTTTTTATTTTCATGAACATTGCTCCAACACAAATATTTTCAATATATTTGAAGGAGAAATGTTGATTCTAAATTTTCTAAACTTGTCTCCCAGGCTGTCATGTGACGTGCGATAATTTTAGCCGTCACATCAAGCAACTAAGCCATTATTTATCTAGTATGTAGATGTTTTAGCATCTTTGATTTGAATTTTCCCAACATGACTGAACTGTCAATATGTGGGTCAAGTTAAAATCTAACCCTACCTCCAGGTTTTATATGGCTCCAGGCTTCATCAGTAAAGCACCTGTTCTAAACTTTTTTACCCATTACCGTGAAGAACTACACTCATCGGCCACTTATTGCCATGTACACCTGTTCAACTGCTTGTCAGCACAAATGTTTTATCAGCCAATCACATGGCAGCAACTTCACAGAAGATAATGCACAGCGGCTGGGACCTTAAAGCACACGGCTACTGCAGCAGAAGACCACACAGGCTGCCACTACTGTCAGCTAAGAACTGGAAACTGAGGCTTCATTTCACACAGGCTCACCAAAAGTGCACAAATTAAAGACTGAAAAAAGTTCTTTATTTCTGCTGTGACAGGTGGTAGGGTCACAATTTGGCAAAGATTAACATGAAAGCATCTATGCTGCATCAACAGTTCAGGCTGATGCTGCAGTAATGGTGTGGGGACATTTTCTTGGCACACTTTGGGTCTCTTACTATCAACTAGGGATAATTTAAACGTCACAGCCTACCTGAGTATTGTTCCTACCGTGTCACACCTTTGTAACCACAGTGTTGTGACTGTTACACAATATATGTTAAATGTGTTAAATTACTCTACCTTTTATTACTTTTACCTAAGCTCAATTATAGTTTCGTTCCAACTAACAGGCTTTTCAGATAGGGCTACTTTTATTTAACACATTCCTTCTTCCTCTTTCAGTTTATTTGCAGCATTTATAAATTTAAAGTACTTTTAATATTGGCTATTTGGCTAGCATTAACAGTTAGCCTACTTTTACCTTAGCCCGCTATTTAATGCGTTTGTTTGTTTTTTGTTGAATTATTCACCTGTTACATTTTCAAACATAATTAATTAACAGTTGCAAATTTCAGTCTTTCACTCCTTTTAGGTAATTCAGTTGATTATGTGTATAATTTACACACAATCAACTACTTTAGACATGTTCTTCTAGCTGGCCTGCTATTTAGCATGCAATATTTTTATCTAATATTAGCGTAACTATTTTAGCAAACATACACAAAATTTGTCACATGCTTTAAATTATTATGTATTTTTCTATTTTATCTCCAAGTAATTTATAATAATTCAGAATTAGTCCTCGCCTTGCTCAAAGGCACCTCAGCTGGGGCAGATGCTTAATTGCCCCAGCTGACCTTCTCTTTCTCACTGTCAAGGTTTTCACTGCCGTCAGAAGACCTTCTTTATTAGTTTTAACTCGGGCCAGCTTTGTGCTGCTCCACTACGACTTGCATTTATTAATCAAGGTCGCTCCTCCTTTGCAGCAGGCCCCTGAGGGACAGCTGTATCCATAGCAACAAAAGATGATCATTTAGGGATGAGCTAGGGAGTTTCAGTTACGTAAGGCAGTCGGACTTGGAGGCATCTCTGATATGCTCGTGTAAGGTCTTTGGAGCTGTTGACCTTCTTTCTCTTTATGTATGCAGACATAAGATACATTTACCATCTAATTACAGAACTTAGACATGACTTTCCAGTTTAATTAATATCTTTCAGGGCCAACTGCAAAATCATACCTTTCTCTACGATATAAAAAATAAATAGAAAATAGAAAGGCAACTACCAAAAGTTAGTCAAGTTAAGAGTGAAAAATAATGCTAATGGCTGGTCTGACTAAACGTTTGTATCACATGACAGTCTATCCAGTAGTTTATTACTTTTGTCTTGAGCAAAATGACACATTTTGTTTGTAGCTGAGCAAATGCAACGAATAAACAGCTGTAAAAGCTGTGTTAATAAGAAGAATCATGGCTCTCGGTATATTTGGAAGGTAATATGCCCTCATTGTCTCATGCTCTGCACAAAAGCACAGAGTTTATACTCGTGTTGTCAGGGAGCACAAATTGCTCTTGGACATCTGCATCTGTATTGTTTGTGTACAAGCTTTTGCTGACGCAGACATGCATAAAACAGTCAAAAGTGCGTGTACGAGCAAGTGTGTGAGTGCGTCCAGGGCAATGATGTCAAAGCAGGGATTAGATTGGCTTATATTGCCCAGAGCAGCACATTTGCAATTCAGCGAACACACTCGAGTTGCCAAATCACTGATTGTGTTAACTGTTTTGCATCCAGGGGAGTAGCCATCACCTCCTTCCACTTTAGAGTTTAGGTCATGAGTGCTTCTTTGGAGCATGATGTGTTTAAAAGCATCGGTCCAAAGAACCTTACATGGTTCTGGCTAAAAACACAGATCCTGAGCAATGTTGTTCCAAAAATACACCATGTTTTTTGGCCAGAGGCTGGGAAGAGGAGTAGTAATCAGGCTAGAAAGTCAACAGGCTGGTGAGCGTGCAGGGCCTGCGCAAACCTCGGCTGTGCTACCACAGCAGACACATCACACACGGGCTGTAGACCAGACCACTTGCAGTGCACACACAACTGGCTGTTAGTGGTTTGTGAAGGGAAGCCGTCGTCTCACCCAGCGCGGTCCCACATGAGTCAGTCGCAGCGTGCAGACAAAGCTCGCAGACCTCAGTGTCATAAAGAACCTCGGCAGCCATGGAGAAAGCGCTTCTGAACATCTTCACACCGCATTTGGCAGCGTGTGATCGGCCTGCGCAGCCACAACTTCTAACGTATCGGTGGAATTATGGCGTTTGCAACTTTTTCTCTGTGTGTTAGGTTGCGTGCGTGTAGAAAAAAAAAACATCAGGCCCTTCCAGGTTTCCTTGAAACAGGAGTGTTTAAGAGAGAAAAGAGAGCAAATGAAGCCATAAAGAGTTCTTGTTAAAAAGAAGCAGAGCCGAGGCTTCTTACAGTCGAGCCAGTTAGTCTAAAAGTTTCCATCAAAGCCCCGCTGAGCTGCATGGAGTAATTACTTCTCACACAGCAACAGCTCCCAGGCCTTATTACTGATACTGTTTTTATGTGCGTGTGCATGTGTGTAAAAGGTGCATGTACTGCACGCGCTCACTCGTGACAGACGAATATGCCTCCATGTCCCATTCAGGCAGAGTGTGCGTTTCCATGTGTGTGCCTATAAAGTAATAGCACCCCAGATTGTCCTGCTTTTTACACATAAACCAGCTTGCTGGGGCGATAAACTGAGAAATGTTGTTCTGACGGGTCGCTCTCGGTCTTAGCTGTCCTGATGACGGCAGAGGGGAGCCCACCCAACATGATGTTCCAGAGCATCTGGGTGTTAAAAAACCAAAAAGCAGACTTAAAAGCCTTTCTGAAGAGCACTCCTAGCAAGAAGAAAAACAAATCAGGCCATCTATTGGCACAGTTCCCAGTTCACAAGATAAATCTGAGATATTGTGAGAATCAATAAAGTAACTGGTCTGATCATTTTTG